ATTGCACACTTAATACCTAGTCTCATGTTTGTCTAACAGTCAAATCTAACCTGGCCTGAATAAAACTCTTCATTTCTCCGCTTCCCAACAAGCCACCTTTTCTCTTAGTCTTGCAAATAGTACCACCACCATCTGCCAGTTTCTCAAACCAAAGATTTGGAATTATCCTTGGTTCTTCTCTGCCTCTGACCTGCACATCCAATTCATTGTCAAGTCCTGTTGAATGTCTACAAAACACACCCAGTCTCCACATCTCCACCAGCACCTCTCCAAACCAGGCCTCCACCATCTGGGCAGGAGTGTGAGCCTCCTAATAGTGTCCCTGCCCTCATCAGAGTGACCTTCTTAAAACAGATCAGATGTCGTTACTCTGTTTAAAATCTTGCACGTGGCTCTTACCACTTAGAATGAAAACCAAGTCCCCATGATCTGGCCCTCACTGCCTCGCTTCCTCTCCTTGTCCGCTTTCTCCTTCACCCATGATCTAACCACCCAAGGCTCTTCTCTGGGCATCCAAGCATCATCGTACTTCAGGTCTTTGCATTAGAGATTCCCTCTGCCTGGAATGTTCTTCCTGTAGCTCACGTCTCCTATTATTTAGATCTCAGCTTAATGGTACCTCCTCAGAGAGGCATCCTGTCCTGGACATGCCAGGGGAAGCAAACACCCAGTCACTCTCCGATTCATTAGCCTGTTTTAATTACCTGGGTAACAAATTTTTTGTTTTAAATATATTTTTATTGATTTCAGAGAGGAAGGAAGAGGTAGATAAAGAGAAACATCAATGTTGAGAGAGAATCATTCATCGGCTGCTTCCTGTACACTCCCTACTGGGGATGGAGCTCGCAACCTGGGCATGTGCCCTTGACTGGGAATTGAACCATGACCTCCTGGATCATAGGTTGGCGCTCAGCCACTGAGCCATACTGGCCAGGCTGGATAACAAGTTTTTATCGGTTATGCAGTTTGTTTTTCACTAGTGTTCTTTGTAGACTATAAGCTCCATGAAATCAGGGATCTTTGGGGACTTACTCCCTGCTGTTCTCATTCTGCAGTGGTGCCTGTCTCGCATTCGTCAAGAGCTAGTTTGCAGCTGTTGCAGGAATGAGTGAATTCAGTGGCAGAGCCAGGCCTGGGACATAGGATTTTCTTCTTTCATTTCTCTCTAATTTATACCAGGATGTCTTTTGCCAGTGAAGCACTTCCTGGCTCCGGGTTATTGATAATCTGCTGTTTACTTAAAGGTTATGGTAACATTTCTTAAAACACTTCCAAAGTCATATTACCTTTAATTCATTTGCATTTAACATCTTCTTTTAAACGTCACCTTTAGTTTAAGTATGATAGAAAACACCTTTACATGGCATTTTATGACCTGCATCTTTTTGGATTTTAATTTTTTAAAAAAAATTTTTACAAATTATTTGCAAAATATGCAGTTTTTACTTCGGACTGTCAGAGATGGGCACAGCCCCGGGCTCGGTGACGAAGGCCCAGACCTGTTTCTGCTCTTTACACAGACTTGAAAAAAATTTTACAAATTATTTGCAAATTATGCAGTTTTTACTTCTGTCAGAGATGGGCACAGCCCCGGGCTCGGTGATGAAGGCCCAGACCTGTTTCTGCTCTTTACACAGACTTGCTCTGCTCCTTCCTGCGTCACTTTCTCTTCCAAAAAATGTTATCGTTCATCATCAAGAGCCGAGACCAAAGTCACTTCACCCAATGGAATATTTTTTTAAATCAAGACTACCCAAAAGTACAACCTGGCCTATTTATTTGATTGATTTAGCCGTGGTCCTGAGGGAGGCACCGTGGTGCTGGGATGAGGTGCGGGCACTGGGACCCGCCCTGGAGCGCATAGGGCAGCCACCTCTGTGGACGGTTGGCGACGTTGGAACCAACAGATGCAGTGGCATGGTTTTAAATTGAACATGTTACTGTTCCGTGTTTACTCCTCCTGTGAATATGCTTTCTGGGCTTTATTTTGTCTTAAGACCTGGTGTCCTTTTATCTCTGGCTTTCCTGTTCCACATAAAAGGGACCGAGGAGTTCGCCAGTGCTTGCGGCCCCCGACGATGCTGGGCTCTCCCGGTGCGGAACCGGCCTGCTCACTGGTTGCAGCGGGTGCTGCCTCTGCCCCGAGGAGACGTGGGAAACATGCATTCGTGTGTCTCATTATAGCTACATCCAGAGTCTCACTTAATTAAATTAATTAAAAGACAGGAGTGGGCCTCGGGGCTGGAGGGTGTGAATTTTACAGAATTGGAGCTGAAAGAGGCCTTAAAGACATCCAGATAATGTCTTATTTAATAGAACCTCTATTCTTGTTTAATGTCAAGACTCCTTTTGCTGTTTGGGGGGATGTTCCTAACCTACACCATTATCCTGGATCAGGAAGTGGGTTTTATTTGCACTTAAAAAGCAAGGTTTGGGGCTTTTAATATTGTGGTTTGGGTTGTCAGTATGATACGTTTTTAGTATTTTCATCATGTGCCTCATATGGGAGAGTTCTGATGAGGGGCAGAAAAAGCTGAGCTCATTTTACTTATCTTCCATTGATTTTACTTTGAAAAACCATCCTAAAACGTGGTGTTCTGCTCTTTCACGGGGGCGGGGGGGGTGGGGGGGACACAGTTTATAAGAGTTTGCTCGAATTTTCATGCCAGAAATCTTGAGTGAGAGCAATTAAGAATAGTTTTTCATAACTTTCATGGGCACAAGGATCCAGTTCAGTGGCCTAACACAGCTTCAGTTAATGGAGGGGTCTGTTTATCAGGCCAAATGTCTGCATCTCCGGGAAGACTGATTGCATTCATTGTACGTTGCACATGACTAGACAATTTCCCGCAGAGGAGAAAGCCTTGGCCCTTCACACTGGCCTCTCCCTTCAGTGTGAGGCAAACTCTGTTCTCTTCCTCTTATTGGCTCACACCTAAAATAAACAAGCCAGCAACCCCAGGGCCTCTTCATCTCGAATGACCCATTTCGCTCTAAGTTCATGTGTGTGCTTTGTCAATTTATGTTTCTAATTAGAATGTGCTTTCAAGTTTACATTGCCACATTGAAATGTCAGTCTCAGAGTTTTTAGTGACCACAGACAATTCTCTCCGATGAATGGGTCATAGTTTATCATGTCCCCGTTGTTGGACATTTGAGAGGGTTATCAAGTTTTCACTGTTGTGAATAGTGTTGCTATGAGGAATCATTGTATAATTTTTGTCAGAAAGCAAGGCCTACTTTTTTACTGAATTTATTGGGGTATCATCAGTTAATAAAATTATATAGGTTTCTGGTGTACAGTTCTATAATATACATCTGTATGTTGTATTGTGTATTCACCAACCCAGGTCAAGTCTCCTTCAGTCACCATTTCCGCCCCCCCCCCCATACCCTCTTCTACCTCCTCCTAGCTCCCTTCCACCTCCCCGAAACCCCCTTCCCCTCTGGTAACCACCATGCTTTTGTCTGTGTCTATGAGCGTTTATGCTTTTTTTCCTCAATCCCTTCACCTTTTTCACCCAGCCCCACAACCCCCCTCCCCTCTGACAGCTGTCAGTCTGTTCTCTATCTATGAGTCTGTTTCTATTTTGTTAGTTTGTGCTGTTTATCAGATTCTACATATGAGTGAAACCATAGGGCACTTGTCTTTCTCTGACTGGCTGATTTCACTCAGCAGAATGCGCTCCAGGTCCATCCATGTTGTCACAGAGGGTACGATCTCCTTCTTGTGTTACAGCCACGTAGTGTTCCATTGTGTAAATGTGCCCCAGCTTTTGTATCCACTGACGGGCACTCGGGCTGCTTGCACCCATCACACAGGACTGCCCTTTTGCTATGTTGACTTTGTCGGATGCTGAGACCCTCCACGTGGGAGACCCTGCCTTAGACTCCTGTATCCCCTGCATCTTCTGCAGCTCCTCGCACACAGCACGGTCCTCTCTCTATTTAAATATTCAGGGAGTGGCTGCACTTTAGTTTAAAATCAAATTTGTGTTAAAGACATTTGAGACGATGAGCTTCTATTTTAGTAGATAGCACATGTTATGAGCCACTCTCTGCACTTGTGATTAAGATAGGTTTTGGGGGGATGAAAAAGCCGTTTTTGTTATTTTCTTAATTTAGCAATTGGGCACATTTCTTAAATCCTAAGAATACTGTCACCATGCCTTTTAGAGTGTACGGTTGTACCGAGCGAGAGCACCGTGCTGGCCATGGCAACAGAAAAAGTGCTGCTGGGTGGGGGGTGGGGGAATGGGGGGTATTAAGGAGCGGCCTTCATCCCTGCTCTTTGGGATTTAATGATCCAGTTGGAGAGAAATTGTATCCGGGGCGTGCTGGGGACACAGGTTTCCTTTGGGTATTGTGGGAATCCATTATGTTAATTATCTGTGTTTCCTAGACCCCGTTACTAATAAGATAGTATTGTGTTGGTCTTTTCAAATCCGCACACAGACCTACCCAGGAAATCCTCTTGCCAGTGCGAGGCTGGGCTATTCACCTTGATAACGCCTTTGGTGGCTGCATTTCCAGGTCATTTGTGTGGGGCTTTGTTGAAAGGCTGCTCCCTCTGCCCACGTCCCATCTGCCCCGTCCTCCTGGTGTACAACTCCTTGGCAGCGCCTGCTTCTCTGGGCTCTGGGGACCCTGGCTCAGTTTGCCTGAGTGTAGATAAAGATGCGTGGAGTCAGTCTGTGAAAAGGAAGGTGAGGAGACGAGGGGCAGATGCTGTCTTTGTCGGGGACGATGGCCTTCCTGCCACAACCCTCAGCGCGCTCTCCGTGGTGATGCAGATGAGAATTTCGGCAGCGCAGGTGGGCGCAGAGCCCAGGCTGCTGTTCTCGTCGCATATTTTTTCTGGGAGCCCATGGGCTGTGGACCCAGCGCTTCTCCACTACCTGCCCTCTCCTTGCTTCCTTCATCCCAGCTCTGTTCCTCGGTCAGATGGTCCCATTGTTAAGGCGAATCTCATGCATGCATTTTTCTCTCTCCTCCTGCAGGGGAGCTGCTGAGTCAGCCCAGACCGGAAGGAGTGGCCGAGATCATTTGCCCCAAGAACGGCAGTGAGCGAGTGAATGTTGCCTTGGTTTACCCACCTACACCGACTGTGATCAGCCCCTGTTCCAAGTGAGTTCTGAACGTGGTAGCCCCTGCCCCTCACTCCTGATCCTGCCTCAGTAGTTGTGATGACAAAAAGCCAAGTTCAAGCATATCTCAACAGACCTTATAAAGTGGCCCCCCCACCCCCCAGAACAGACCTAGTTATCTAGGTGACATCAACACTGTGGCTTATGTAGCAAACTAGGAGCTTTTATTTTTTTCTTATTTGTGATTTTTTTTTTAACCTTTACTGAAGAAAAAAAAAAGTCAGAGCATTTTTAGCAACTTTATTGAGCTATCATTTATATGCCATACAATTCACTCATCAAATGTGTATAATTCATTTTTGCAGCTAAATGCAATCAAAAAAAGCATTGTTTTCATGGGTAGTCTTAATTCTGTCATTGCAGAAGTAAGTGGGCCCTCACCTCAGGGAACAGTGAGTGCCCATCTATAATATCTATAATAATAAAAGCATAATATGCTAATTAGACTAGACGTCCTTCTGGATGAAGCTGGGACTGCGAGGGAAGCCCAGGTCCCAGGTGCCTGCCAGTGGACAGAGGGAAGCCCGAGTCCCGGGTGCTAGAGGGAAGCCGGTGCCGGCAGCCAGGGGAAGGAAGGTGTACTCTTGCACGAATTTCGTGCATCGGGCCTCTAGTTAAATAAGAAAAGCTTGCGGAAAAGCGGTAGTAGGTTACTTTTCCTCTGGGCCTTTGGTTCTGTATCAGTCCTTGGTAGTCAGAGGCTGTGTTGTCTGCTCTCATCTTCCCCAAAAGGGACTTAAAGACAGAGAATGCACCTGTGTGAATTAACTTTTTTTTTTTAATCCTCACTCGAGGATATTTTTCCATTGGTTTTTAGAGAGAGTGGGAAAGAGAGAAAAACGTCAATTGGTTGCTTCCTGACCAGGGCTTGGGCCAGGGAGGAGCCTTCAACCAAACTGAGGTACATGCCCTTGACCGGAATCAAACCTGGGACCCTTTGGTCCTCAGGCTGACGCTCTATCCACTGAGCCAAACTGGCTAGGGCTGAATTAAGACTTTTGGATACAATGTTAACTTTGTATTATAGATAAAACTCATCCTTTTTTCTTTTTTTTTGGTAGTATTAAAAACTAAACAGTGAAACCACTTTTCAACTGAGATGAAATAACTTTTGAATACAATGTTAACTTAGTATTATAGATAAAACTCATCCTTTTTTCTTTTTCTTTTCTTTTCTTTTTTTTTTTTTAGTGAAACCACTTTTCAACTGAGATGAAATGCATTCTTACCACAAAACTTGTCTTCTTGGAGCAGATCTGGTATCTTGGGTGCTGTCACTTCAGCAAAGTATTCATGCCGGAAACCTGCATTTTTCCTCCTACTTGACCACATAGAATTTTTTTTTCATATATAAGCTTTTTACAGGGAGGTTGGGAAGTTCACATGTGAGGATGGTGACCTGTCATCTCCTCTGGGGAAGCTTGCTACCAGGCTGGGTTGGGGAGAGCTGTGTCCCTGGGGTGTCGGCTCTCCTGCCTTTGGGGGGCTCTCTGCGGAGGGAGGGGCCTTCAGTGTCACACTCATTCGGCTCATTAGACAGAACACCTCCAACCCCTTTTTCCTGGGAAATAGAAACACTCACAGAAACGCATATCTAAAGTCATTATATTCAGAATGCTGTTTTAGCTAACACGAATAGAGACAGTGTGATGCCTCGCCAATATGCCCCTAAGACATTGTCAGATCTTGAAGTGCTTCTTAAGTATTAAGCAGAATTACACAGTAACTTCTTATTAACCAGAAAATCCCCAGTCCAGAACCTTTCAGACCACAGAAATTTTCCTGGTCTTTGAATGGGTCCCTTTCTTTCAGATACACTGGGGTAAGGACAAGGGGACAGTACAGGCACAGCAGGTGTGGGAGGGGGAGAAACAGTTGTTCAATACACTTTGCATTGGTGTAGACTTTCCTGAGCCAGGAGAGGCATTAGCCTATTGCTTTGCCCTAGCCACGTGGCATTTAATGGGCAGGAGAGAGCTAGGACTCACATATCCATTTGCAGGAGAAACCGCCGTGGCCTGGAGCCAGCTTTATCGGTGTTTTCCCAGGGGCTTCTTGTTGTCCTGCCACAGAAAGACACTTACACCAACCTGGAAAAATGCTATCAGCCCCGTCTCTCCCACAGTTTATTATACCTAAATGAACAGGTCTTTAAAGTCCCGAGTAACCAGAGCCGCCTTGCCTCAGACATCTAGATGCTGGGGGGAATGCCTTTAGGATTGAACTGCTGTTGGCCTCACTCTGTGAATGGTTTTATTTTGAAATGGATTTTTTTTTGAAGGCCTCATACAGTGGATGGCAGGTTTGGAGTGTAGGTCTCTATTCTAAATGAAGGAAATCTGTGAAAACAAACACATCCAGGCCAGGCCCAGTGGGAGGTCTAACTTACAAGTAGATGACAATATATTGGAAGCAGGAGATTTAGGAGACAATGAGGAAAGCTGTTACAGGAGGTGGGCATTACATCAGCACAGCTGTGGGCTGATGAGCCTGGGAGTTAGACTTGGAGCCCAAATGGGCAGGAGAAACGGAGACGGGGGCTCTTGCACCGGCCTTGCAGCTCCAGCCAAGTTAACTTAAGCAGGTCACTGTAGAGTGATCTTTGACTTCTGTCATCCCATAAAATGCAGGTGGATGGCTCTGAGGGAGGGCCCCCTGGCCAGGGGGCCTCACTGAGCAAAATTGAGCCATGCTGCCTGGATGAGCACACCCATTCCGCCCCCAATTCACTTTTAGAGCTGAACATGATTTATTGTTCAAATCAGGGAAGGATTGAGAGTGGCAGGCGGGCTGTTTAATTATTACACCAGGATGCCAGGCATCAACCAGAGCTGTCCCAGGCAGACCAGAGTAATCACCCTGCTCTCGGGTCACCGATCTAGACCTTAGGGTGGTTTCTAAAAGACATTCCAAGCTCTTCTCTGACCAGTTTACTCCTCCCCTTTATTGGCCAAGTCAGAGACTGGTCATGCAGCTGCCTGCCTTTGACCATGTGTACCCGGTGGTGCTCAGTGAGCTTTATGAAGAAAATCCACTGAGGACTGTGATTTGATCGGATATTCCTTATGAATTCTAAGCTTTTCCATTACTCATTTACAAATGTTCTGGGTGTTTTCTTCCTGAGTCGGGAGAGACAGAGAACAGAGTAGGGAGTGATTTATTCTGGCTTGTCTCAGTGGTTGGTGGCTGAGGTCTGGACAGACATTGCCCTGGTGAGAGGTTACCTGTCCTAAAGGAAATGAAGTACCCCTGCTCCTGCACCTTGGCCTCCAGGGGGACACCGAGGGGCTGATTATCAGAGAGAGATACATGCCATTTCCATACTTTGCCCTTTGGGGCTGATTTTCAAAGATTTGCATTTGAGTTGAGATGAAAATTTATCCAGCAGCAAGTTTGCTGGGTTGCTCTAAAAAATTCTGACCTTCTTAAGGGTACATTTCTTAAAGCTCTATTGAGATAGACTTTCATACCATAAAACTGGCCCATTCAGAGATTATGAAGAATTTGCAACTGACAACATAGTTTAATTTTAGAGCATTTTCAACACTCCAAAGAGAAACCTCCGGCCCATTTGTGATCACTTGTGTTTGGTATAACACCTAGCTCCCTGCAGTCAATACATATTTGTAGTAGCACGTTCAGGAATGGCTTTGCTGCCTGTTGTGATGGCATTAAACAGATTTTTAGTTTTAACGAATTTCTTATAAACACCTGTTATCCCTGGTCCCGTTCAGTCTAAAGGCAGTGAGTTGACTTGCACCCCCCCACTCCTCCCCAACCCCCGCCGCCAGTTTACTGGACAAAAAGGGGAATTAGAGCTGCTTGGAGGGAAGTTGTTTTTTGTTTTTGTCTTTTTTTAAAGTATAGGTAGCAATTTCAAACATAAACTTTATTTTTTAGAGCCATTTAGGTTCATAACAAAATTGAGCAGAAGTTACAGAGAGATCCCATATACCCTTTGCCTCTGCACATGCACAGCCTCCCCACC